AGCCATGAGTTCTCTTATTCCTAGAAAAAACTCATGGAGATGAAATTGTTGAGCAAAAGACTAGAGCAATACAAGAATCAACTAGAGTGATGCTTAGTCTCAAGCAATTACCATTTGAATTTTAGGCTGAAGCTATGAATACTGATTTCTATATTCATAACAGGGTCACCTTAAGGGGAGGTACTATCTTTACTCCTTATGAGCTATAGAAAGGAAGGAAACCTAAAGTCAAATACTTTCATATTTTTGAAAGTAAATGCAAGATCTTTGCTGCTAAAAATCAAGTGGACACGATGAGTTCCATAGGGGATAAAGGGATATTTTTGGGTTACTCCTAAAGTAAAAGCATATAGGATATATAATTCTAGAACTGGTATGACTACAGAATCTATCAATGTGAGAATTGATGATCCAGGTGTTAAAGAGAAACAGGATGTCAGAGATGATGTTGGAACATTCAATGTGCAAACTGATGAAGCACTAGGAGAGAAAACTTGTGAATTCATAAACACTGAATTAGTAAAGTTTCAATCCAACATGAATCTATCTACTAAGGGACAAATAGAACAATTTATGGATCTAGCTGCAAGTCACCATGATAAAGGTAACATCACTGAATTTAAACCAAAGATATCAAATATAGATGGATGAGTTTCCTTGAGGGAAACAAGAGGAAGTTTCTCTAAACTGATGTTGAAGAGATATCATGTCAAGAGAGATGTCATGACATTTCATACCAAAGATCTGAATTCTTTCAAATCTTATTCAGCATAAATGGTGTAAGGATCTTGGTAGTTATAAGTATCTGATCAGGAATCTTGTTGAAGGGAAGGATGATACTCTAGAGCTTATGGATAACAAGGAACAACTTATTTTTATAAAAAACAGTGTGATTGGAACTTATACTATTAAGGAGTTATAGAAATTATAGAGATGGAGGAGTGCATCAGTTACTACATATCTCTTTTATAATCTGAGGCATGACATGGTTGGACTAGTTGCTGCTGAGAAGGACTGAAAGGAATGTGTTCTGCAAGACAGTGGGGATGGTTGCATCACCAAGGAACACAAAAGGCTTTTTAATATGGGCATAAGGCTCTTTGGAAGAGGCAAGAGGTGGAATATCCCCTGAAGTTGGCTAAGAAAGTTGTTTTTCCATCTGTCTGTTTCCATATGTAGTTATGTAGAACCCTTAAGTGTGCGTGGTTCTTGTGTGTGGTTCCACCTAGTGTTCATGTGTGTTTCCATCTGTGATATTGCTAGTGTGCAATTTATGTTTCCATCTGTTGTATTTCATGAGTGTAATATGCTCTGAAGTGCTTTGTGTTTCCTTTGTATACATTTACTCTATTTCTTTTTGTCAAAATTTTGGCTTAAAGAGGGAGTAAAGTGTTGTGTCTTGATGTTACATCACAAGTCTTGACATGTTGATTTAGCATTATGATAGGACTGTTAGCTACTGTTTGTGGAAAAGTAGCTGCTTGTGGTTTCTCATGCAATCATTGAGGGGGGGGGGGGGGGGGGGGCATGTTTGTTCATGCTTGTGTGTGATGAAGTTGCTGATGCTGCTTCTGTTGTTCCGCTGTAGGTGCTCTGGTGTGAGTTTTGCCTTTGAGGGGGAGAACCTATTATGTTTGACAGGGGCGTTCTAAACTACTTTGTATGTACAAGCTTTTAAGTTGTGTTTTCACAAAGTTTATATGATCAACATGTAAATTGTATTGTGGTTTTATTCCTCTCTCCAATTTGATTTGGTTTTTGGTTGTTTTAGCCAAAATTTGCTAAACGGGGAGATTGTTAGTTCCATATTTTTATGGTTGGATAAATTTTGGCTAACATGATTCTGAACATGGTTATATGTTGTTGTTGAGTAAGATGGTGCAACATCTTTATCAACTGTTATAGTAGTTCCAGTTTTTATGAGGTTTTCTACCAGATGTTAAAGATGATGTCATAACATCTGGACTAGTAGGTACAACAGATTCTGCAGGTGCCTTATTTGACAGATGTTCCAGCAGATGTTGTAACATGTTACAACAGAAAATCTTGTCATTGCGATGAATATTTATCCTTGAAGATTTAATTTGAAGATATGAGTATCTGGAATATTATGTACTCATTATAGGCGCAGGCAATCAAGGATTTTGTTAGAAACAATTGCATATTTTATTGGCTACTAAAAAGGATCGATTGATACTTTTTAGGAAACTTTTTATGAAGATTGTTTCTATTTTTATGGAGAAAGATTCTGCAGGTTTTGGGAGCTGCTGATTGAATTTGATTGAAGAGTCCAAGCCCATTGCAAAAGTCTATATAAGGAGTCGTCCGAGACCTAGTTTTTAAACATAGTTTTTATTGTAAAACCTTGTGAAAAATAAGGGTTTAGGGTTTGATAGGCCTTAGGTTCTCCGTGTATTTTCTATTGTACCTCCTCATGCATCTTTGATACATTTGAGTTGACTGATTGTTGCTTGATCATCAAGCTATTATTCTCACTCAAAGCCCGTAGGCAAGAATGGAGTATTGTTCTTGGAGGAAGCTTTTAAGCAACTCCTAGTGTTTGTAATTTTAGAAGTGTGTTCTTTCTTTTTGGTTTCTTGAGACAATCCCTGGGATTGGGTGTATTTGTTTATCATAGCGTGATTGGAGGTGAGATGGCGATTTCTTATATATAGGAGGTTCCTATGTAAAAGTTGAACTGGGTGGGGATTAGGCGAGAAGTTATAAACCGGGGAGTTTAGCTTTGAACTAGTACTACTGATAGTGGATTTCCTTCCTGGCTTGATAGCCCCTAGAGTAGGTGAGTTGCACTGATCTGGGCTAACATATCGTTGTGTTCTTTACTTTCTACAAGTTATATTTCTGCATTATTGTTATTATTGTTGTTTTGTCAGCATATGTTATAACATCAATCGTGATATTGTGTGTTGTTAAGACATATGTATTGACTTCTAATATTCTGTGTGCCAGAATTTCATATTCAACCAAGGGGATCAGAGTCGTCGAAGCAAGAATATCCAGCCTGATGGGAGTGTCTATAAACAATGATATCTCATGTCTGGTGAGCTGGAATATGGGAGGACCTAAGCGAGATCAAAGACCGTTAAACTCAGTGGTGAGGGTGGAGATGTTGGCAGTGATGTTGGTTTGGAAGTTTTGTTGATTGAGCGTGAGTTGATGAATGGAATTAGCGAATCTTCGATGGTGGGAGGTGAAGCCATGGATGAAAGCACCAAGTTGTTGTGAATATAGTGTGGGCGAAAAAGAGAGAAAACTAGCAATCAGAGTAATGTATCTATTTCTATAACTACACTAATAAACTTGGTTCTTATCTTTCTCTGCTATATTCATTCAATCAATGCGTACATATATAATAGTTTTCGTGTAAGCCTCTAAAACGTACAATCACGTGAATCATATAACAAACTAGTGACTCAGCCACTAAATAATCAACTCAAGGATTACACATAGTAGAGATACTTCTTGAAGCAAGCTTCACTTCCCGCGCCTCTTCTTGAGAGAGGGAATAATGAAGTCTCTGTAGTACTTGGGCCTAACTGCATTCCTCTTGGGACTAAGATGTGGAATGAGTTCTTCATCCTCTTTAATTGGATCAGTATCCTCTTCAAATTCTGGCTCTTCAAAGCCCATTTCCATTTGGCCAGTAACATTCACATTTGATGGTGTATTAAGGTCAATCACTTACCGTTCTCGTGGAATCTCAACTAATCATCTTGGTTATTTAGATTTTTAAGTTCTTTATTATACTCTATTTTGTTTGTTTTTTATAAACATTTGTGTAATTTTTCTATTATCCGTCCTTCTCGGAGAAGAAACAATCCTTAAAGCAAGTGTGTTCCGTAGGCAACATTCATAATTTTTTCAAGTAAAATCGTAAAATAAGAGAAAATGTATTTCTTTTTGTCATCTAAAAGGGGTTATCAATACATTAGATTTGAATTTGACTTAATACATCCCTACATAATTAATTTGTAAGGTGAGATGTGTCACTCCATCTATAACCAATGTATAACCAATGTGAGACTTGAGATTTATGTAATACATCGTCTCACGACCAACATTAGTGAGCTTGATATGTGGATATAAATCATGGTGGTCCATGTTTCGATCGATAAGTACAAATACATATTAAAATTGAAATTTGACTGAATTCATCCTTACAAAATCGACTTGTAAAATAAGTTATCAATCTATACAAATTTTTTTCAGACTCTATCTTTAATCAATACAATGAATTTGTTATAATTAATCTAAATAAAATTAAACAACTTACGATTTTAAACATTTGTCTCGCTTACTGTTTTATAAGACTTTTTTAAGAAAATCTTCTGTTTTTTTTATAAACAAACTACAGTAAATAGTATATGTTAAAGATTAAAAGGAAAAAAAAATTTTTTTTTCTTAAAGGTGTAATTATTAATTGCATGTTTAAAATTAACAGCCAATGAAATAACGACACGAACATGATTCAAATTAAGACATTCGACGACGTTCATCCAATACAAGTCGAAAACGACTTAGATTTTTCCCAGCAACATAAACGCATCTTACAGCTGTCATCACGCGCCCGTGCAACACACGCGCATAGCCAACACAAACCGTGTATCTCACGCACTTTACATGCGAATGAGAATAACAAAACTTTCCTAAAATACACTAAGCAAGCTAAAGACAATAAAAAGAAAGTTGTACAAAAATAGAACCTAACACCAACCCTAAGTTTCACTCTATTCTGGTTGAAATAAAAATAAAAACCAAAAAGATTATTAAAAAAAACATCTGAAGATAAAAAAGCAAATCTCACACATCAAATATATCAGTGAGTTTCTTATCTTTCTCATTCTCTCTCTCTAGTTTCTCTCTCTAGGGTTTCAAGTATAAAAATTGAAGTTGCTATTGTATTGTCTTTCACAAAAATGGAACTGACCTAGAAAAGAAGGATCAAGAAGTATATTAAGATAAAGAGAAAGAGATTGAATATGGGAAGGGGAAGAGTTGAATTGAAAAGGATAGAGAATAAGATAAACAGACAAGTTACATTTGCAAAGAGAAGAAATGGTCTTCTTAAGAAAGCTTATGAGTTGTCTGTTCTTTGTGAAGCTGAGGTTGCTCTTATTATCTTCTCTAACAGAGGCAAACTTTATGAGTTTTGTAGCAGTCCTAGGTATGCTTTTTTTCTTTTTGTTTTTTCTTATGTTTATGTTCTTCCTTATGTTTTTGTTCTTTCTTATGTTTATGTTCTTGCTTATGTTTTTGTTTTTGTTTATGTTTATGTTTATGTTTATATTGGATTCATGAGATCTGAGGTTATACAACATGATCTGATGAATTATTGTTGATTAACTTCTTTTTTTCAGTTGATGTGATTAATTTCTTGTGATATTTCTCTTTTTTTTTTTTTAATTTTCTTGAAGTTTTAAAAAAAAAATTATTTTGGATTTAAATATTCAATTTATTAGATTTTAGGGAATTATTTATGTCCTTATAAAAAGTTACCAAGTGAGTTGCTGACATTTTTGTTGTTAGCAGCAGTACTATAGATTTACAAGGACATGATGTTGGCATTCTGAGTTTAGTACAAATGGGTTAATTTAATTTTCATATAGAAAACATTAATAAAGGATTATTAATTAATTTAATCAGCTTGCTAATTTGAGCATGATGCATTGATTGAATGAGAATGAAATGAAATAAGTGTAAGAAACCTATAAATAGTGTTGAATCATCTTCCTTACTTTTTGTTCTTTTTCCTGCTATGAATCTTTTGTTACTGGGAAAAAGACATTAATTAAAGCATGAGTTGATGTTTGGTCACAAAAGTATGATAAAAATGACATTATAATATAATAACCTAAATTTGTATGAAATTGTTATTATGATGAATTTGATAGTTGTTTTGTTTGAATTTTCAGCATGCTGAAAACCTTAGATAGGTATCAAAAGTGTAGCTATGGTGCAGTGGAAGTCAATAAACCAGCCAAAGAACTTGAGGTATATAGAAAAACCTAGGACTTATGTTGTGTGTACTTTTATTACATTTTGTTAAGGATTTTTGTTTTTGTTTTTTTTAATAATGTAATTTTTTTTATTTTTCATGTGTTAATTGTATTTTGGTTTTGAATCAACAGAGCAGTTACCGTGAGTACTTGAAGCTGAAAGCAAGGTTTGAATCACTTCAAAGAACTCAAAGGTAAAATTGAATTTGAAAAATGTTATAATCTAGTATTCATTTGATTAGTTTTTCAAACATAATTTTATTAAGACCATTGTATTAATTTTGTTTCTTAATAAATCTTAGAAACCTTCTTGGTGAAGATTTGGGTCCTTTAGGTACCAAAGATCTTGAGCAGCTTGAACGTCAACTCGATTCATCTCTCAAACAAGTCAGGTCTACTAAGGTAACATTATGAACGATTGTGATACACTAATTATATATAGTTTCGAGTAAACTTTCGATCTTACATTCTTTGAAATATCATTTTGCAGACTCAATTCATGTTGGACCAATTAGCTGATCTTCAAAATAAGGTACATGATATTTTCTTATCAAGATAGTACACCAACCACCTTGTAGTCACCAAACCACACATTCACGCATTCAAATTACTAATAATAGATCTATCAAGATCAGACAGTTTAAATTTAATTTTCGTTAATAAACAAAAAATAAAATATGTATTTTACTAAATGATCTGACCTGATCAGAAGGTTTGGACCGTCACGGCTGCTCCGAGCTGAAGGCTTTTTGAACGAGGAGGGGGGGGGGGGGGTACCTGCAAGGCACTCCGATGCTTAAGTCAGTGGGAGTACTAGCAGATAATAGAGTTTAGGTTAGAATTGAAGATTACCTGACCCTCTGGAAGCAGAGGGTATTTATAGCCCCCAGCGCTGGGCCAAGGTTCCTTCACTGGGCCGGGCGGATTTGGCCCAATGGAGGAACTGCCAGGTCCTACGTGGGTAGTGGGGATCAGCACGTGGTCCCCTCCCTGGATGTGGTGCGTGAAGTGCGGGCGGACAGAGACGCGGTCTTTACGGAGTATCGTTGGGGCAATGGTGACTGAGTCTGCCCTAGCAAGGTAGCTTGAGTCCATGTCGAGCAGTGCAGCGTGATGTCGAGCTCGGCGCCAAGACCTCGAGCTGGACAGCGAATGTCGAGCTGGAAGCCAGGGCATAGAGCTGAACGGCAGTCTGTCCCACGTGACTTCGTCGCGTGGGCTGGCACACTGAGATGTCGAGGTGGACATCAGGGTGTCGGGCATGGACGTTGTGGTCCTTAGTGAGTCCCATTGGACTGGGCCTTAGTAATGCTTTTGGGCATGTCGGGCCCAGTCCAGAACAGGAGCCCCCCAAGTCGTGGTTCCTTTGCGAGGAGCCATGACTTGAAACCAAGTTGTTCAGTCGCTGAGGTCTCGTGCCCGGAATGGAAGCGCGGGCCCTCAAGGGCCCTCCTCGTGTCGTGCTCGGGAACGTCCTCGGTGGTGGATGCGTGGAGGATCCGTACCGGGCACGTTGGTCGGGCACGCGAGGCATCTTTTGGGAATTGTGCCGCCACCCTAGGGGGGTAGGGCCATCATTGCGTTGGGTGCAGTGCGTCGAGGAGACGGAGTCCGTGGCTAAACGAGGTGACGTTTGGTATTCCATGTCATCACTATAAATAGGGTCCTTGGGCCCCATAATACGCTTTCCGCTCTTCGTGCTCTCTACGTTGCAACTCTCACACTCTCTCCAACCGTGACTTCCCGTCTCAGATTCTTCGTTTCCTAGCCGAATCCCATCTTTGATCCAAGTAAGTGATCCACTTTCTTTATTTTCTTGTTTTAGAATGCATGATTCTAGGAAATTGTGGATGTTTTAGGAGCGTTAATGTGGGATTAGCCCGGTAAACTCGTGTTTTGCCCGACAGATTTACGTCTAGGACCGGCAAACGCATACTTATGGCCGACTCGTTCTTAGTTTTAGGTGAAAAACTTCAGAGCTGCCCGGGGTATTCATGATCCTGGGCGCCTGATTCATGCCGGTGCCCGGTATATTCATGGTCGTGGCCATGGGCTTCATAACGCGGCTCGCCATGTTCATACCCCGGATCGACATGCTTGAAGAGTGGCCGTGCAGTTGGTTTGTGGAGGAACACTGGATTCAGGAGAGTCGGGGAGGCATCCACTTGTGAAAATGGACTTGCGGTAGTGTATGGACGACATGATTATGTCGAGCATAGGGCTTCATGCTCAATCTGATTGGTTTCCCGTGCTCTGCAGGTAACCATGGCGGATGAGCCGAGCTCCTCAGGTCGTCATGACAGCGAAGAACAAAGTGCCGACGAGTCGGCCAACCTTATAGACACTGTGACCGACCCATCGCTGGAATGGGTGGGCGCCGAGCCTCGGGGGACGGCGTCGATATACAGTCGGGATGACCGACATCCGTTCATCGCCATCGAAGGGGGGCAGGACCAGCCCGACTTTCAACCGAATTTCGAGGTCATGCTGCCTGCGACCACTGCCAGAATTTGTTCGATGTACCCGGATTACAGTTTTGCGATGTACGAGATCGCCTTTAAGGACTTGGGTTTGCGGTTGCCCTTCACAGACTTTGAGACCGGGGTTTTTACGCATCTGGAGCTGGCCCCGTCCCAGCTACACCCTAACTCTCTCGCCTTCATCCGGGCGTTTGAGCTGACGTGCCGCTACTTAAGGATAGGGGCGACCATCCCTCTCTTCTTTAGGGTCTTCCACCTACAGCGCCAGTCCCGAGGAGGGAAGCACAGCTGGGTGTCCTTGAAGCAGTCGAGGAGACTGTTTAGGATGTACATGGACTCTGTGAGGGGGTTCAAGGATAAGTGGTATGTGGTACACCCTATCACTGACTCTGCTGTGGATTCTCTCTTCGAGGAGGAAGGGCCGGTCAGCGATGATGACGGGGAGGCCATGGTGACCGATGACGGGAGCCCCGTACTAGGACGTCGGGCTAAGTTCCCGGTGTACTGGATGTCTCGACACTTCCAGAATGGAACCGGCTACTTCCACACTGCAGTCGGGGACATGTGTACGGAGGATCAACGGGCGTATGCGGCTCTCTGTAACTTCGTCGACGGTTTTCATCCCGCCCAGTGGGTTACACGGGAGGGGAATGACATCCTCGACAAGGACGGTTACCCGATATTCGAGGCTCGCCCGATTGATACCAAGGCGTTGGTGGAATGCTCGACCTATAGGGAGGCAGTCCGCCTGTTAGGTTGTTTGTTTGAAATTCTTGACTCGTCATTTATTTACGCGTTTTGCTCGATACTGACTTTTCTTTTACTTCGTGCAGGTACGATGGCCAGCCGACATGAAAGGCTCCTGAAATTGTCAACCGGCCAGAGGCGAAACAAGAAGGTCGTGCCGGCCCCTCAGATGACGAGAATGGGTCCACCGACAAATCTGAACGCTTCTCAGCCTGTGAGGGTGGATTCGACGTCGAGCTCGGGGGCGGCGTCAGATCCAGATGTCGAAGTCATTGATGCCGAAGCCGTTCTGACACAAAGGAAGAGGACCCGCGTGGAAGGCGGTCCAACTGTCGGGGAAGATACTGGTCCCGTTCAATCCTTTGCCTTTCCCCCTTGCATCGAGGAGGAGGGTTTTTTCGAGCGGTTTCCCCCGACCGTGGTCGCGCAGGAAGCCGAGGCCATAAAGAGGATGACCAAAGAGGAGAGGCGGTCGCGGCTGGTCGCCAGCGTGGACGGGCTGGTTAAAATGGCTGAAATGGCTCTGGTATTGTCTGAAGACGCAGGGGACGCTGCTCGTGTTGAAGAGCTCGAGCGGGAGAAGGCAGCCTTGACGGCGAGCTCAAGGAAGTTGAAGGTCGCTCTGGAACGCTCCGAGGGGATGTTCCAAGAGCAGACCGTGATACTTGACGCCGAGAGGGAGGCGCTGACCTTGGAGAAAGAGAAGTCGGGGCGGTTGACCGAGGAAGGGGAGTTGCTCCGGGCCGATAGGGATCGTTTGGCTGCTGAAGTCGAACGCCTGGGCAAGCGGGTCGAGGAACTGAATGCTGCTCAACAACCCGCCGAAGATGAGCCCGAGGACTTAATGGCTTTGAAGAGTCGGGCTGAGTTTATTGCTCATATTCGGAACCTCGAGGAGGACGCAGTCGGTGCCCTGGAAGACGGGTTCAATTCTGCCGTCGACCAGCTCTCGTTGCTAAATCCCGGCTTGGTCACCGAGGGTATCGGGCACACTCATCGGGTTGTCGGTGGCGCGATCATTCCCCCGCCCGACTCTCCCTGCGTCGACAGTGGTGATAATACGGAAGTTTGATTTGTATTCTTTGGATAGCGGGCCTGCGTGCCCTTGATATTTGAATTTGTACTTTGGGCCTGCGTGCCCGTTTATTGCATGTATGAACATCGCCGGCCTTCTTGGTCGGTTTAATATTACTTTGTCGCCTTCAGGCGTTTATACCTTGTTTATTTTGGATTTTCTGCCCTTGTATGAACTGACATGCTTGTATGAATTTAGCTCGTCCTGGGCCTGACGAGTGCCCGTAGGTGGCTTTGATTTGGCGAGCGACTATGCTCGACTCTGTTTGTGCGCAACCTCGGCCCAATTTCGGTTGGCCGGGGGTTGCTTGAGTGTTTCGCTCGAGAGGAGAGATTTTGTTTTGACCCTTGTAGATGTCCCGTTATTCTTGATGGAATGTCGGGTATTTCGGAGCGAGGTTGCTCAGTCGGGCGTGGAGCCCGTAGGGACGATTTGCCCTTGGCGTGAACTGCCCATCGCGAGCTGGGTGTTCTGCCTTATGGGTACGACGACGGTGGTGCTCGGTATAGCTGTCCACGTCGGGCACTATAGATCGTCAACGTCTACCGCGCGATGCCGTGCCATTTTGGTCGTGCGTCGGCCTGTACCTTAGCTTTAAACGAAGTGGGACGTTTTTCCTCATTACCCGGGCATGGTTGCTTCTGGTCGAGGGTCCTAGGTGTTGTCAGTTTTTAACTGTAGTACTGCTTCAACTTAGCAGCATTCCAGGGTCTTGGTAAAGGCTCTCCGTCTAACTGTTCGAGGTAGTATGCCCCGGTACCCGTGGTGCCGTGGACGCGGTAAGGTCCTTCCCAGTTCGCGGCCAACTTCCCCTCGCGGGAGTCTTTCTGGTTTCTGCGTAGTACCAGGCTGCCTATTTCGAACTCGCGCTTGATGACCTTGTCGTTGTGGCGTAGAGCCACTCGCTGTTTTAGGGTTGCTTCGCGCAGGGCAGCCCCCGAGCGGATTTCCTCGACTAGGTCGAGTTCATCCCTAAGTGCTTCGTCATTCATTTCTTCGTCGAGGGGTTCCTCCGTTCGTCGGGATGGTTCCATGATTTCGACTGGGATGACGGCTTCGGTGCCGTACGTTAGTCGGAATGGTGTTTCACCCGTCGTTGAATGGGGTGTGGTGCGGTATGCCCACAGGACGCTGTGGAGCTCCTCGACCCATCCTCTTTTGGCTTCGCCGAGTCGACGTTTGAGCCCTCGGAGGATGACTCTGTTCGCAGCTTCGGCTTGCCCGTTGGTC